GAAAAGCAAGAACGCGAGGAAGAGGAGAGGAAAAAGCGACTCCAGCTGTACGTGTTCATCCTCCGCTGCATCTCGTACCCGTTCAACGCCAAGCAGCCCACGGACATGACCAAGAGACAGATCAAGGTCACCAAGCAACAACTCGAGACGATTCAAGGACGATTTCAGGTAAGGTTGCTGTGAAGTCTGTTTTTTTTTTTTTTTTTTTGGGGGGGGGGGGTTGAAATTTTGAAAATTTTCTGGTGAGAGGTTTTTTTTTTTGGGGGGGGAGGGGGAAATTTTGAAAATTTCTAGAGGAGAGGTAAATGAGTTTATTTTATGAATGTGGTAAGCTGTATGTTATTGATACTTTGTTGATTCAAAGACATATTCAGGATTAATGTTTATGGTTTCTCTATTGTTTTGTATATTTTTTTCCCACTGCTTGGATTTTTTTTTTTTTTTTTTTTTTGATGGATAAGGGTATTTTTTTTTGTCATCGAGGTCAGTTCTAAGGATTGTTAAGAATTTGAACTGTTCTTCGGTCGAGTGTAAAGTAGCTTGCTATGTCTTTTTATGGTGATACAGTTAGGTTTAGCCAGCTGAATATGCGAAGAAGAATAAGATTCAACTATCTGCATATGTAACTATATATATATATATATATATATATATATATATATATATATATATAATATATATATATATATATATATATATATATATATATATATATATATGTATATATATATATATATATATATATATATATGTATATTATAATATATGTATATATATATATATATATATATATATTATATATATATATATATATATATATATATATATATATGTATATTATATATTATATATATATATATATATATATATATATATATATATATATATATATAATATATTATTACAGTATATATATTAGAGGTATATATAAATAGCTAGAAAGCTAGACAGAGATGAATAAACATGAATAGTTAGATAGATGGATAGATACAGATGAATAGATAAATAGATTGATAGATAGATAGATAGATATGAATAGATGAATAGGCAGACAGATAGATAAGAGATGAATAGATGAACAGATAATAGATAGGTACACAGAACCATTACGCTTCCCGAGTGGAGATTACGTTGTGTTAGTAACGCCCGGGACAAGAATACCGATAGGGGCGCGGTTAGGCCTACCCTAATACAGTAGGCCTCCTCGGGTCGGCTCGCGTGTTTAGGGCTACCGTATGCAGGCCTGATGAATTCTGTGTGGATTAGGTTCTAATAATGACGTCACCGAGGTCATCTCTTGTGCAGGGTCGGATGAGGTCAGGCGTTTCCAATCTCGGCTGACTTGTCTGGGATTTACATGAATGCGTACATAGATACGTACGTAAATGCGTACGTACATACGTACTTACTTATATACATACATACATTCATTCAGTCACATATATTCGTATATATATCTTCACATACATTACATTCACACCACACACACACACACACACACACACACACACACACAACACACCATACACACGCACACACACACACACACACACCACACACACACACACACAACACACACACACACACACACACACACACACACACACACACACCACATCACACACACAACACACACATACACACACACACACACACACACACACACACACAACACACACACACACACACACACACACACACACACACACCACATCATCCCCTCCACTCACCCACCCACCCAAACACATCCTCCCCACTCCCCAACCCCACCACCCACCAAACACTATCCTCCCCACCTCCCCTCACTCATCCACCCACCCACCAAACCAACCACCTATCCCCCCACCACTCATCACCCACCCCCACCCAAAACATATCCTCCCCCACTCATCCACCCACCCATCCCACCCCCCCACATGGCACCTATCCTCCCCACTCACTCCCAACCCACCCGCCCACACGCCGCAGCCAGCCGACACGCTGTGCTCAGACGGCCGTTCCCAAAACTTTCTCCAGGCGAGTGAAACGCGTCACAGATTACAGACAGAGAGGAGCTGATGGCCTGGAATTCCTAAGTCAAAGAATTCCTTCAGATCGGAGCGGCGTGGCAGTCAGCTGGTCGGTTGGGGTAAGGGGAGGGGGAGGGGTGGTTGGGGATGGGGGGAAGGGGAGGGGGGAGTATTGTGCTTTGTTGGGAAATTGGTCGGGGTTGGGGGTAGGGGTGGGGAGGGGGTGGTAGGGATGAGGGGAGGGGGGGGGGAGTATTGTGCTTTTGTCGGGGGAAATTTGTCGGGGTTGGTGGTAGGGGATGGGGGGTAGGGAGGGAGGGGGAGATGGTAGGGGATGGGGGGATGGGGGGGAGTATTGTGCTTTGTTGGGAAATTTGGTCGGGGTTGTGGTAGGGGATGGGGAGGGGGGTGGTAGGGATGAGGGAAGGGGGGGGGGAGTATTGTGCTTTTCGGGAAATTTGGGTCGGGTTGGTGTGGTAGGGGATGGGGGTTAGGGGGAGGGGGGGAGATGGGTAAGCTTTGTCGGGAAATTTGGTCGGGGTCGGTGGTAGGGAAGGGGTGGGGGGGTGGTGGGGGGAGAAAATGATAATAATAATAATGATGATATTAATAATGATAATGATAATACAAATTATGATTATGATAGAAATAGTAATAATAATGATAATAATGAAAATTATAACAATAACAATAATTTATGATAATGATAATGATAATAACTCTGGCAGTAATAATGACAAAAACAATAACAACGATAATGATAATAGTTATAATGATGATAATAATAATTATACTTGACAATGATAATGGCAATAACAATAATTATTATAATGATAATAGTCATAATGATGATAATGATAATAACAAATTTCAATAGCAATGATAATGATAATAGTTATAATGATAATAGTCATAATGATGATAATGATAATAACAAATTTCAATATCAATGATAATGATAATGATAATGATAATAGTCATAATGATGATAATGATAATAACACTAACAATGATAATGACAATAACAATAACAGTGGTAATGATAATAGTCATAATGATGATAATGATAATAACAAATTTCAATAGCAATGATAATGATAATAGTTATAATGATAATAGTCATAATGATGATAATGATAATAACACTAACAATGATAATGACAATAACAATAACAGTGGTAATGATAATAGTCATAATGATGATAATGATGATAACACATAACAATAGCAATGATAATGATGATATCACCAATGAAATTCAAAACAACACAACAAGAATTACAACAATAATAATAAATCTTACCCCAAGTAAATCACATTTCACAAGCAAATGGTGCATATTCCCGCGTGCTTTTCAACAGAATGAGCAGCGTTATTATTTTTTTTTTATTACATTTTTTTTTCTTGTAGTTGAGGCGTAAAAAAGAACAGAAGAGATAACACGACAGGAACTCATCATTCCCCCGAGGAAGATGGGGTTTATCTGTCCCTTGAGAGGAGGAGGAAACACCATGTTGTTTGTTTGTTTGATTGTTTGTTTGGTGCGGGTAGGTTGTTCTTGGGGTATGTTACTTTGTTTTGTTTGTATGTCTGTCTAAATCTGGATGTGTGTCTGTATTTCTGTATGTCTCTCTCCCACTCCCTCTCCCTCTTTCTCTCTTCCTCCCCCTTCCGCCCCTCTCCCTCTTCCTCTCCCTCTTTCTCTCTCCCTCTCCCTCTCCCTCTCCCTCTCTCCATCTCTCCCTCTCCCCTCTCTCTTTCTCAAACTAACTCACAATTACAACAAACAAAACAAAAAACAACCAACCAACACAAAAACAAAAAACAGAGAGACGACAATAAACAAGATCCATAAAACAAAAAAACGTGACGTCATTACAACAGTTGCCGGATGCCATTATAACCGGGTGAATTCTTCTCCCTTTTTCATTATGGATGTGACAAAGCATATGTTAACGTTATGTGGTAAGCTCGGCTATATCCCTGTTGATGTTGATGATGAATGTAATTTGAATAGGAAGGCTATATCCCTGTTGGTTTTAATGATGAATGTAATTTGAATAGGAAGAGTTTATTGAATAGGAACGCTTATGTTTCTGTTAGTGTTTATGATGAATATAATTTGAATAGGAATAGTATATTGAATAGGAAGAGTATGTTCCTCTTGGTGCTAAGGATGAATGTAATTTAGATATGAAGAGTTTATTGAATAGGAAGGCTATGTCCCTGTTGGTGCTTAAGATCAATGTAATTTGAATAGGAAGAGTTTATTGAATAAGAAGCCTATGTCCCTGTTGATGTTAATAATGAATAATTTATATAGCAATAGTTTATTGAAGGGAAGGCTGTATCCATATTCGTGCTAATGATAAATGTAATTTGAATAGGAAGAGTTTATTGAAGAGGAAGGCTATGCTCCTGTCGATGTTGATAATGAAAGTTATTTAAATAGGAATTAATTTTAACAGGAAGAAGTCTCCACAGAACGGAAAGATTGATTGTCATATAAAGGTGAACTGGTTGACAAAATGGGAAATGGGTAGATGAATAGATTAACTAAAGAATTAGGAAGAAAAGAACGAGGAGAGAGGTGAGAGAGGAGGAGTAGGAAGGAGGGGGAAGGGAAAGGAAAGGAGGAAGAGAGGAGAGAGAGGAGGAGGAGGAGAGGAGGAGAGGAGGAGGAGGAGGAGGAAGGAAGAAGAAGAGAAGAAGAAGAGAAGAAGAAGAAGAAGAAGAAGAAGAAGAAGAAGAAGAAGAAGAAGAAAGAAGAAGGAAGAAGAAGAGACGGAGGAGGAAGAGAAGAGAATAGAAAGAGGAGGATGAAAGTAAGAGAAAAGAGAAAACAAAGAGGAGGAGAGGAATAGAAAAAAATTGCAAAAAAACAAAAACAAACTGAACAAGTATACGAAGCCAAAAAAAATAAAAGAAAGAAAGGATCAGACAGAAAAAAAAAACTAACGATAGAAAAGTTTCCGTTAATGCCTTAGTCCTCAGATAAAGGGAACGCCAAAGGAGGCTTAACACCGAAGAGATGTTATCCCAAACGTCTTTAGAACCCCCCCCCCCCCCTTCTCTTACCCCCCCCCCAAAAAAAAAGAATGGAGATAGGCTGATTCTTTCCTTTTTGGGAGAAGTAATAAATAAGAAAAAAAAACGTTA